TTTTCAGCGTAATACAAGTCTTGGTGGGGTGATGGACCCTCCTGTGGTACGCACAGTACTTAGGATCCGAAGTCTTGTTTGCTTCCTCCTGATTTGTAATCGGTGGTAGCTTGATCTTATTGTTGGCGAGGAGGTATTTGAAGATGGTTGGAACTTCATCATCTTCGAAAGAATACTCCTCCTGAAACTTCGGATTAAGAGTCCCTTGTGGCTGTTGATGAATATCGTCAGCAGTTGCAGGTACTTTAGTCGTTGGTTGGCCCCTCTCGAGCTCCTTTCTTTTGAGGAAACGCTCGACATGTTCTCCACGTAGTTTTAATTCCTTTCAGGTGGTTGAGGGGACAACCCCCATGACTTCGAGGACATCGATAGAGAGATTTTTTGTGTCACGTCTGCAAGATGAAATCCTCTGTGACAGGATCCCTGTAATTCATTACCTTGTTGCGGAAACGTTTGACAAAACTGTCAACTGACTCACCGTCCTTCTGCTTCTAATCCAGAATAGCTCCGATCGACACTTTGGTGTCATCGTCGAAAAAGTTGTTGAGGAACGAGCTTTCCAAGTCGTCCCAGCAATTGATGCTCCTCGGCTTGAGACGTCGATACCAATCGAAGGCCGCCCTATGAATGACTGAATCATCAGGGGTTCATTCCCGGAGATCACTCCCAGGTGGGACTTAAAATAAATTAGGTGCTGAGTGGGCGAACATTTCCCGTCAAACGACGTGAAGTTAATTAGATTGAACTTCGTCGGGTATGGGATTGAATCCCACTCTTTTGGATATGGGCACAGAATGCCTGTTCTCTTTACTTTTTGAGCGAACATTAAGGTATTGACCTTATTCTCCAGCTCTTTCATCATCTTGTCATCATCTATATCTTCATTTGAAGGACGTTAAGGAGAATGAGTTGGACCACCCCCAGCGTTTTTATTTTTAGGGGGTGCATTTGAACAACCTCCAGTGTTATTGAGGGGTACGATTGGACCACTCCCAGTATTTTTGGGGGGTGCGTCAGCCATGATGACTTCGTTCACTTCTGGATCGCTGTCAACTGCGATGTTCTGAATGCGATGGTTGGATTCAGCTTGCTGATTTGATAAAGCTTGAAGTTGCTGGTCATGTAACTCCCTCACCTGTTGTATGTTCAGCTCCATTTGCGTGTTCATTTCAGCTCTAAGCTCTTCTCGCTGTCGAGCTAAGGCCTCTTGAAGCATTTGAGCCACTTAATCTGGGGTGATCATAAACGACTCCTTTGCTTCCCCATGCTGGACATTGTGTCGTTGGAGGTAATTACAGAACACGTATCTGAGGACTCGTCATCTGAAGCGACTGCGGAGCAAGTGTCTGACAGCTTGTTATCTAAAGATAGTTCTTTGTGCATCTTTGGATAATCCCTATGTCCGATGACTTCTAACTGGAGCCGAGACATTCGTTGGGCAATTCCTAGACTGACTTTTCCTCCCGGGCTAAAGTCAGGATTAGGATCATTCGAGCGACGTGTTGATTTTCCTTTGTAAACCATGTTGATGGTGACTTCAGAGAATTCATCATCCTGAATGGTGGATTTTCTCTCGTGGAAGCATCTTGGCTTGGGCTTCAACGCTTCAGTGGTAAGCTTCTCGAATATCGAGACCCTTTGTGAAATGGTCCTAGGACAGCTATATTTTGATAATACCACCCTGATTAGCCTCTCATATGGACAATGAGAGCTAGTTTCTTGGACATCCTTCTTTTGGGATTTGTTCACACCCCTAGTCTGATGGTGCAGCTCATTGGAGCAATCCATCGCTTGTTGGTGTGATACCCCAAGTATAATGTTGTCTTTTGACGAACACATTTTTTTTTTAGGATGAAGAACCTTGTTGACATTTTTGGGACAATTCATTGTCGCCTTTGAATGATCCAAGGTCGCATCAGGAGTCGTACATTTAGAACCACCCCCTTGCGAGCGTGAGGTCTTAACGGGCTCCTGGGTTCCAATACGAACCCCCAGGCAATGAATGCCAGGAGTCCTCTTGTGCACGGCGCACGAACACGTACAATGAGATGCCCCGGTTTGTTTGAAGGCGATGGGACACCTTTGAACGGTCTTTGGCTTGACATGAGTGTTTGTACGACCCCCAACCTGAGAAATTACTCGGGTTTTATTCACTGGAGCTTTGTCTCGATCTTCGTGTAAAAGACCCAGGCGAATTTTCATCGGAATCTTAATTTTGGACAGATCCATGCTGCTGTTGGGCTTCCCGGAGGTGCGGGAGCAAGACGAGTGGACTCGGAGGCTGACAGAGGCTTAGAAACACCCGTATGGCTGGAATCAGGTGCGAGATGAGTCGTGTCCCGCCCTAAGCGGAAGTGTTTCAACTATTTTCGGCGATGTTTTCGCCTTCAGCACCCAGACTCGTTTGGATTTCGATGATTCTTTGACCACCTCTTTCCTCTACATGCCTTGTATCTTTCGCACAAAGGCACGTCCGCGTGCGGCATGTGCGTGTCGCTTTTGGATGCGCTCCTTCAAGGTTGAACGATTCCTTTTGACAAGGATCCATTCTTCCGTCAACGGCTTGGAGGATTTGTCAGCAACTTGCCATTGAGGCGGCTGGATTGAATGACGCTTCCTAGACTTCAAGTCTGCGTAGTAACGAACTCCATTGACTTGTTCTAAAGCCTTGGCAATTTGACGAGCTTGGCATTGGCGTCGCCTTTGACGATCCCTCTTCATTAGAGTTGGCGTACCTTGATTGAACAACTCCTTGACTGGAGAGGAGTTGTGGCGAGCGGAGTCATTTGAAGCCTTCATCGGCGAATACGCCTCCTTCAAAGATGGGATCTTTCCGCACTTGCAGGGAGAGGAAGATTTTGATAAAAACGAGGAGAAATATTCCTCAAACTTGGTTTCGTCGAACTCGTACTCAACATCTGAATCAACTGGGATCTTGATATTTGGTTGCGGCATGACAACCTTGGTGACGAGACTGTTGGCTCCCACTGTGGTCGCCAGCGTGTTTGGGTTGGAAATTGTTTTCTTCATTGTATAACTCATTACAACTTTAGTCGTTACAATAAGTCCGAAAAAAGACGATCTTTTTATAAGATCCTACACAATGAAAAAATAAAAAAATTACAATCTCCTTCAAACAACACACAACAGAGAACGTTTATCGCCTATTGCTGTTTGCGTGGGATCTTTGCATGTATCGGGGTTTATCCGTGGACCGCCTACGGACCGGATCCGATTGATAGAAGATTAATTAAAACTCTTACTTCACAAAGGAAGTAATCGCTGAAGTGATAATCTCGACCAAGGGAGATTACGACTCTTCTCGAGATTAAGTCCAAGCCTGATCTCAAGGAATGGGGGAAACGGGACCTCAGATTCTTTGAATAGCTCCTTCTTTATGCCGGAGTTCGTCGGGATCTAGCTAGCCTCTCTCAAATTCGTCAGAACCTCGCCCTAGCTTCTCTAAAATTCTTGGCTCCCTTTACATCTGCCTTTATGAGGGTGCTAGGGGTGTATTTATAGGCTTTAAATGCTGAGTTTGTGGATAGAATTATCGTGTTTGTGGATAGGGTCGAATAACAACCGTTATTATTCGTTTATGTGGGTTTTCAGTTGTGTAACAGCTTCCACACGTTTAAGGATAACCCCACATGTTTATGGATGATCCCAAGGAGTTCTGGAAGTCAATCTTATCAGAAAACACGTCGGGAGTTGACCTGGTCGCGAGTCACTTCGACTGTCTCGCATATGTCCGGGACAACTTGGAGTATCTCAAGTATTTTGGTCTTAACTCTTTCGTCCGACCTCGGAATGAAATGATTCAAGATGCGTTAGAAAGCTAACAAAGATACCTACAACTTTTGTCTTTTGAGATTCTTCAGATTCGAATCATATCATGACCAAAATATGTGAGACACAATTAGTATCTTGCAGGTGTGAAACAGTCTGGATTGTCTCGAGTGTTTTGGCTCTAACTCCCTCGTTCGACCTCGGAAGGAAGTGATCCAAGACGCGTTAGAAAGCTCGCAAAGATCTCTACAACCTCTCATGGGCGAGACACCCATGGGATGAGCAAGACACGAGTGGTGCTTACTCCTTTGTGGGTGAAACGTAAACCCAAGTCGAGTCGCTTCTTCGTTATTGTATTATCCCGTTGATTTGTATGCTTTATCAACTCGCTTCGTGCGTTTGTTAGCTTTTCTATGACATCAGATAACCCTTCTTGATTTGGATAATGATGTTCATCGTCTTCTCTTCGTCTCGAGCTGCATGCAGGAACCCATAGGTAATTTTTGACGCCTACAAGCATGACTAGGAGACAAGCAGACAAGTTTGAAACACAACTAGCACCACTATGGACTCAGTATCTCTAAATATTTTTGGCTTCCTTACAAGTTACTGAGCAGCTAAAAGCTCACGAGGGAGCAGGTGATGATCTCTTCCCGCTTCAACTCACAGCTAATGAAGGCTTCAGATGAAAATTTATTTTTTAAGAGCTCATTTGAGAATGAACAGACGTTGTTCTTCCACAGCAATTTTTTTTTTTAGCAGGTAGCAGGAAACCATGTCTTTTATGGTTTCAGTCTCCCCGCCCCCCCCCCCCCCCCCCGCCAAAATCACTAGTTTCTTCATTAATAACTCTAACTTCAACCAAAGGAACAATTCATTTGCAAGAAAGAAAAAGGAGTAATTGAAAAAAAAATTGGGGGTTCCAGCTACCTACCTGAAGATTCATTGAATTGACCCGCCGAGAAGGCGGTGGTCGAGAAACGGCGCGGAAGAAGAATTTCGGAGGAGGGGAGCGAATTTTTACTGTCTTAGAAGAAATTACTAAGGTAAAACTCCTTTTTCAGGGTTATCTTTTATCATGGATCGGGTCGGATGCTGTAAAAGGTCAACCCGGCACCGTTCCCTTTCGTCACTATTTTTCCCCTCCCCACTCTCTCTCCTTTCTCCAGCATTCTACTGCTGCCCCCCCCCCCCCCCCCCGGCCGCCACCCCACTCCAACCCTAAAGATTCTATTATCATGGATCGGGTCGGATGCCGGGAAGTATCATCTCAGCAGCAGACCTCTCCCCTCTCTCTCCTGCAGGTAACTCTCCTATTTCCCAAAGAAAATCAAGAACCCTCCTTTTTTTTATCCCATGCCCATTGTCTATTTTCTATTAGATAATGCACCCATTTTTTGGAATTGAAGTATTTTTCTTTCATTACCCCCCACAATTTTGCAAGAACTATTTGAATTGAACCGCTTGTTGTGCCCTGGCCAAGACGTCATGTTCCTCTTCTAGAATTTAGGAGGGTTTTGGTGTTTCAAGAAATTCTACTGTATTTAGTTATGGGATTCATGGTATTTGGACTCATTAGTAAATGCAAATGAGTTGATATGGATATCGATACACTGATATCTGGTCCATATTGAACCATTCTGTGTCATACTACTAGGGAACTTTTCGATGCTCAATCAGGCTCATTCTGTTGCATTATAATTTCATGGAATTTAAGGTGGAGCTTTGACTTTTGAAATGCGTCATAATTGAAGTTGTAGATGTTACGCTTCCCTATTCTCAAGGAAACATGTGGCCGTTGAATAGTTTTCCAGTATCCTCGGTAATTAATGAATGGCCGTACATGGATTCGCAAGATGTTCGGAGGAATACGGCATCGATCACTATAAGGAAAGGATTTCAGTTGTCAAAGTGATTACTCGATAAGCCAACAAAATACAGATGACTGTTTCTATGGTTTAAGATACTTCATAGATCATGTTTTAGAGAGCAGTTTCAAAGCAATTCTAGTTAACTTTCCTGCATAAGCAGCAGTCTTTTTTTTAGTGGATTAAGTGCGACCAAATTTTCATATTTCAAAGAAGAAATGCTTATTCTTATTATTTGAGAGAAGGAGACATCATCAATCATTAGCATCATTATTGGTAACCGTTGATTTTGGCATCAGGAAGTAAGGTTTGTAGTTGGAGAACGGGTTTAGAATTCAAAACCTCTATCATCCTGCAAAACTAAGTTACTTAAGTTTTACAACATATATTGTAGTAAAATTTCTTTTACTGTCATTTGGATCTATAGTTAAACACTTGTTTGTGCATTCTGACCATCTTTGATTTTATTTCTTCGTGTGACTCCTTTCTCTAAGCAATAGTGGAGCAAGGAATCATCTTTCCTTGTAGGACTTTATTGAACAACCACCTCTCTTCCCTTGAGCAATCAAAATAAGATACACCAAGAATGACATGTAATGTACACTTCGAAAACAATTATATCTTCTGTAGACTACATTCATTTAATCCTTCAAAGAAAACCTGGTCATATAAACTCTTGAAAATATTTGTTTCCCTATCCATAATTGGCTTGATAGGCATATGCACATTCATAATCTAGTAAAAGCTACGCTTAATTGAAATTATTTTATCTGTATTTCTTATTAGTATACGGATCTGGCATATTTGAATATTTGGTCCATCTTAAATTTGAGTAAAGGTCTATGAAGATTTTTTTTCTAAAAGGATATCACCGTCATTGACATCATCAACGTCTTTCTCCCTTCAAAATCAGGTCGGCTACGCAGCACAACTGGAAAAAGCTTAATAAAGATTTGATAATTTATTATGATTGGAGACAATAATAATATAGATCTGCCAGATTAGTGCACAGTCCTTTTCCAAGGAAGTTAGGACTTTGTATAAAACTTAAAAGGCCTGTTGGTTAATGAAGTTTTTACTTGTGTTGACAAGGAAAGAACCCTCGAGGTTTTTCCAACTAAATCATAGTCCTGAAGAAGGAAAAAGGTGATAGGTCTGTTAGGATTACATTCAACTCTGGGCCATAGACAAAGCAAGAAGCTAGTTAGCAGGGTCCTAATAGTACAAGAATTCACGTTTAACTCTATCATCGAACCTCCTCAAACAATACTATATAATTATCAACAAGACAAGTTGCAGGATCATCCATATCTAAGTTGTATCTTTTGGTGTCTTATCGGAATGTTTGACATGAACCACTCAAAGCATTCATGCAACATAGTTGTGCTAGAACCTGCATAGCTAACGTAATAAAATTCTTCAAAATTTTCGTTTGCTGTTAGCTGATTGATATATTAGTCATTAAGATATGTTCTTTTACCTACAGGATCAGATAGAACACAGCAACGCACATACGTAATAAATTACATAATATGGAAAAGCTAGCTTTCTTTTTGACATGTCATTTTCTCTTGCTTCTTTTGCTGCTGAGTGTTCTTTATCCTGAGTCGTTGACAATTTGAAATCTTTCCTTGCTACTACTACAACGAATTCAACAGCAGACATAAATAAACAAGAGTAATGAGTTCCTCCAGCTTTCAAGAATAACAACGTAGCTCAGTGATGGGGACCTCTATGCGTTGCCCACCAGAATTTTCTTCACCTCCTACTATAATCTCACTAGAGAAGAAATGCACCTGCTGTCTCCTTCATCCGACAGCAAGCAAATCATCTCCATGTTTCTCATCTTCTTTGGTTGTGGATCTTATCCGAATGGGTGTCGTTGGTCCTCCGAAGATTTTGTTCCAAGTTCATAGTTCTTCCAGAAAAACTGATAGTAAGAAGAAATGGTCTGAGTGGGTGAAAGCCATGGCCTGCAATAAAACTTTTATTCAAAAATGGAACCAAGCCGGGATCAATGATGCCATACTTGTTGCCTCGATTGCTACTGACATAAGAATCGATCAACAAACAGTGGAAGCATTATTTGGGTTCTGGTGCTCTGTGACCAACACCTTTATATTCCCATGGGGTGAGGCTGCATTTACTCCAGAGGATGTACATGTTTTAACTGCGCTTCCTCTACGGGGTTCACATTTAGATCAAAAGCTTACTGCAGACCAACAAGAGCTAAAGAATAGGCTAATAGTGGAGTCGGAAAAAATATTAGTGCTTAGCAAGGAGGCTCAACGCATGGGAATGGTTACTAGTGACATTTGGCTTGACTGGTTCATAAATGAAGATAATATCGATGATGAACTTAGGCATCTCGGTTTTTTGACGTATTGGCTTTGCAAGGATGTCTTCCCATCGGAGAATCAAACTCTAGCTTCGCTCTTTGGGGTTGCGGTGAGACTCAGCTTGGGGGATAGGATTTCGTTGGCACCTGCTCTTGTTGCCAACATCTATCATGATCTGAATATTATCACAGAGTCTATTGTTAGCAATCACCGGAAGAAAGATAAGGGAAGTGGAGGGATATTCAAAGCATCACCATCATTTGGCTTCCTACAATGTTGGATCTGGGAAAGATTTGAAACTCTCCGGCCCATTACAAGTGACTTGAAATTTCAGCAGAGAGTGCGGATCTCTCGCTGGAGTGGAAGTCAGATAAAAACTCAATATAACAAAGCATTGGAGATTTTTGAAGATGAGAGATCTTTTACATGGAGACCCTACTCATGCCGACTGCACAATTGGGTGGAGCCAGAATGGTATAATATGGAGTCTCGTGTTGTTACGATTGAAGCAGAGAAAACACCTGCTTATGTATATGACTTCTTGTCACTGATATCATGCACATCTCTAAAGGGACTATCTTTTGATGGTCGTGTATTTTCTGAGAAATATCACCCAGATCGGTTTGCTAGACAATTTGGATTTGATCAGTCCATTCCTGGAGATTTCCAGAATTTTAACTATCTTTCCAATTCTATTGTTGGAGTCCAATTATGCATACCGGGAATAACCAAACATGGCAACCTGAGGATTGAATACATCAAATGGTGGAAAACATACAGAAAGAGTTACAAAGAGACGCTGAGAGAGAAGTTCATGCCGAAGGGAGCAATGGAAAAGGGTTTGGACGAAGTTGGAAAGAATGGGAACATGGAGAATCATAAGGCTGTCCTGACTGATAAGAACATCGACACAAGCAAAAAGAGAAAAGCAGAAGAATTAGAAAAACATCGATCTGTTATCAAACAGGAGCACAGAAAAACTCATACTCCCCAATTTTATTCGGATAAAGAGTTGAATGTTATAAATATTGATAGTGATGATGAGGAAAATAAGATAGTATGTGATGCAGCACCATCTGGATTTCCTCGAGAAAGTAAGACGCACAGCAATGAGAAGAATGAATTAGGTTTGGTGAAAGAGCTGGAAGACTTTCAACATCTTGGTCTTATGACCTATGAGGAGCTTAACCCTGAGATAGAAGAAAGTAATAACGTAGCATCCACAAAATGCGAAGATCCTTATGGGCAAGAAGCAATTGAACACTATCCAAATTTCTTTAGACATATTCCTCAAAATCCACATTATAAAGAGCTTCTGAAAGGAAAAAAGATTGCTGAGGATGTCAAAAAGCAAATCTTTCTTGGTCAGTGGTATATGCTAGTGGATCTAATGAAAGAAGCTTTAAGGACAAATGACAAAACTATTGCTGCAGAAGTTGAGCGATTGCTTGAAAAGGCTCGAATGCTAGAGAAAAATGGGTTCAACGTTAGACACTTGATTGCTCGCCTGAAACTTGTGCATAGAAAACACTAGAAATGTGCATAAAATGAAGAAAATCATAAGATTCTCATTAGTTCCAAGGCCGGTCTTTCTGATTTTTGTGAATTTTTTCTTTTAGGGTAAAGTTTTTCTCCTTAAACTTTAATTCTGTTACTTATATTTCACTGATCAGAATATATTGGACAATCGAAAGCAGTTCATTTGTGTATTTCCACTAATATGACTTTGCATTCCTTATTTCTTTGATCACAGGAGGTGAAAATAATGGGCTCTTCCTTGAATATTTTGTTTCTACTGCTGCATTATCTCATTGCTATTTAATCGTCAATGGAAGAAAATGCCAACAGCCATAAAGCTTTTGCTTAAGGTGGGGATCTTGTTCAGACCAGCGTCTTGAAGATAACCTGGTAAATAGCCTCCATTTACTGATTTGTGACTGCATATCTTTTTAATTTACTGCTTGCTATTTCCTGAGAGCTAGAATATAGTTTGTTAATAAGTCAACCATATGTTCAGTTAGATGCCAACATTCGAGCATCTTTGACGAACAAATACTAATTTCAATACTCTATTCTAGTTAGTTTTTTTTCTGATTCCTTGCTTCTGTGATAGAAATATATGCCCATATATCTTAATATAAGCGGTGGTGATATTTTTTTTCTTGGAAAGTTGATGATTTATGTGAACCTCTGTATATGTTGTAGGATATTAGTTCCTTTAACATCAATGGCAATCAAGGAAAATTAAGGCACAATGGGAACTAGGATCTGTATATAATAAAACTTATGCACCAACCTTAAGCATTGAGCACATGACTTGGACATACAACCTGAAAACGCCAATGACTTCGGCAAATCCTAAAGCTGAGCAAACCCAATCACGTGGCCAGTTTTAGTTTCTGATGAACCTACTCTTTAGTGTTGATAAAGTGACGAGGGAAAACATGTAGCCTGAATATCAACTAGAGAAATGGAAGTGCTTCGACAGTGGAAGTCGGGCAATTGCATATTGAGCAGATCATATCTTCATATCTTGGAAGGAAATTGGCATCATGATATAAAACTTGGAGAGGAGAGATGCTCCTTCTAAGCTTTCCTTAGATGAAAATGAAATAAGTATACAACATAAGATACTTGATTGTTAAACTTAAAACTTCTCTAATTCTCTTATTCTAGTTTAATTTTCTGTTACCTTGAAGCGTTCTCCTCTTTGTAGAGGTCGGTAACTCTTCTTTTACATTAATACTTCTCTATCTTGCTTATAATTTCCTAATGAATTAGAAATCTAGTTTTATTGACAAATGAAATTTAAAAGGGTTATGTTTCTTGTGGATGGTGATGGTTTCCTCTTAAAGCCAACTCGGTCATTAATCTTTTAAGTAGAACTTGCATATCTAAGCTGAAATATGCTTATGATCAACTTAAGGTGTAGTCATTGATCAACTTAGCAGGCTTATTGTTTTTGTGATTCAACTGCAGGTTAAGGGAGAGAGGAAATAAATGGTGTCTGCATCAACTGGAGCTTCTTTTCTGTAGACAGCCACCTCTAATTCTGGCAACCTGATAGTCTGCTTACGTGTAAATTCTACCATTTAAATGGTGTCATACTTCGAACTGGTTATATTTTGGGGGTAGTTTTAGTACATAATTCCATAATTTGTCCGTATGTACACAGGTTTATTTCTGAAATCCATGTCTTGCTTACATCTCAGTTCAAAATCCAGAGTATCGTTTTAATTTTTCTCTATACATCCAAAATAAGAGAAAATAGGAACACTTTTAGCACCATGATCTTCCTTTCTTAAGATTGTTGTAGGCAATGCATATTACTTGTATGTATCTGTTGGTTTTTGTTTCCCTTGATTTTGATTTCTATGTTTCTTTTTTCTTTTTTTTTGTTGGGTTTTCTCCTTTTCTCTTTTGTTTTGTTTTTTGTTTTTTGTTTTTTGTTTTTTTGTTGGGTTTTTTTTTTGTGGGTGGGGGGTGTGTGGGGGGTCGGTCATAGAAACACCTTTAAAATAGATTCATTATGTAGAAGTCATATTTGATTTTCAATTTATACATAAACCACCTCTGAAGGGGTTTTATTGCCATCAATCATCTGCGCCCACCAGTTAAATTTTTTAGTTAATTGATCTCACTTAACCTTCATTAAGGATCATCTCTCTAATATAATTGGTATTTGACAAGAAATTATTGTAGCAGAAAAAACTTGACACAAAAGTGAGTCTAGGTGGTTGATTACGATAAAAAAATAGTTAAGCGTGGTTTATTATCAACTGACAATCAAATGTGGTCTTAGTAAACAAGGTTAAGTCATATTCTGGGATTTAACCCCTATGACTTAATGTTTGTTTAGAGCTAAAACTCAGGTTCGGGTCAAATACAGCTAATAATCTTTGCCTGATATATCTTTTTGTAGTAATTAAGAAAATAAATAAATTTGCGATGAGGTTGAGCCATTTTGTCTCAATCCAACTCCTCCAACTTGTATCTATAAATTCACAACGAAGTTGAGCCTGTTTCTCCAGTCCAACTCCGCCAACTCGTTCATTGACCACAATTATATTCAGCAACTCTGAATTCTTCAAAGATTAGACATAGTATGTATCAATTATCCATATCCAATTGTGGAGTCATTGAGATTCGTGTATTTGGAGAGTTGACTTGCTTAAAAGTCAACTTAGATTGGGCTGGGACAGCTGTAGTTGGTGGTTGACGACTGAATTCTTTGTGACAAGCTGCCTTTTTTCATTCAGGGAGCAAGTATGTATTTTCATTAAAATGTGATAATTTGTTACTTTTTTCATTGAGGAAGCAAGTAGGTATAATGAACTCATTCATTATTATTATTTTTTAAAAAACTCTCATTAAGAAACTTAACAGTAAAAAAGTTGCAGGAACAGAATAGAATTTATAGAAAAGCTTTCATCAATTTAAAAAAAAAATACTTCTCATAGTCATTCCTATAAATTAAAGAAATGAAACACTAAATGTTAAAAATACAAGAAATAGAGATACTAAAATTTAAAGTTATGAGTTAAGAAAATTTTAAGGAAAAATTGTGTCAAGGCCCCAAAATAAAAAAGTTTATGTGTCCCCCACTCCCATATTAATTCTCTTATGTATAAGCCCCAAATACCAAGGGTTTTTGTGATTCAGCCCCTTTTGACACTGTCCCAAAGAATAACAAAAAAAAAATCCCAAAATTACCCCTCATGTACTTCTTCTTCTTCTCTCTGCTCCTTCCTCCTCCTCTTCTCCTCTGCTCCTCTCACCCACCTCTCCCCCTAACTCTACCTTTCTCATCTCTCTCCCTCTTACTCCTCTTACCCTCTGATTTTGATGTCTTCCTCACCTACCTCCTCATCCGTCGCCATCGAGTGTGTCCTCTAGCCTCGTCATCTTAAGCAAACATTTAGAAGGCTTAGAGAAGGAGAGGCGATCAACAAGATGGATGGAGAGGAGCATGGAGAAGGAAATAGGAGAGAAGGAAGAAGAGGTCGAGCTCATCGAGCCAGTGAGGTCCATGGTGATAGGAAGTAAAGGGAGATCTGGAGGGAGTATGGATGAATTTGTTGGTGAAGTGTGGTCTGCAAGAGGCATAGATGGCAGTAGGAGACGAAGTTAGGGTTAGAGCTCATATCTTTAGGTAATGAAGTTGGAGGAGGATGAGATTTTTGTGATTTAGGGACATATGTGTTGTTTGTTGAAATGGTTGTAAGGTGGATGAGTTGGCTTTGCATGTTAAAATGAAATTACTTGTTAAAATTGGCGTTTGTGTGATGTAAGTTTGTGATTTCAAGTTTCATATTACAGACACATCTTAAATGTTAACTTTAATAGTTACAAGTTAACTATTCCTATCGTCTTTTAACTGTCACCTGAACCTGTTAACTCTTTCTATCGTCTGTTAACTCTCACTGCTATTTGTTAACTCTCACATGAACCTGTTAACTCTTTCAGTCGTCTGTTAAATGTCACAGTTACCTTTTTACCTTTTACATGAACTTGTTAATTTTCACGATCACAAGTTAATTTTATAGTTTATTTTAAAATCTGACTGATTTCTTAAATCTTACAAAATTCTTTCACAATGAGCTGCGAAAGTCTTAACAATTAATTTTGCTCTACCAAAAGTATAGTTCTACATAGCAATCCACACCAATCACTAATTAGATTCTTTTTGCTATCAATTTGATACGTTTATTGTTGATACCATATATACTTAACAAATAATACCTAGAGTAACAACTTTCAATGAAGGTTAACAGGACAAGCCAAAAGTTAATAGGTTTAAGTGAAAGTTAATAGCTAACTGAGATGGTTAACAGGAAATAGAAATAGCCAACATATAATAAACATGTACTTTATATTAATTACTCTTACATTCTTACTGCTTGAATACATAACTTGATTGGTCTTACATTCTTAAAGCTTAACAAGATTCTTCCACAACGAGCTACAATAGTCTTGACAATCTATATTGCTCTACCAAAAATATAGTTCTACATAGAAATCCACACTAATCACTAATTAGATTCTTTTTTTTATCAATTTATTACGTTTGTTGTTGATATCATATATACTTAACAAGTAATACCCAGAACTAACAACTTTCAGTGTAAGTTAGTAGGAAAAGCCAAAAGTTAACATGTTTAAGTGAAAGTTAACGGCTAACTGAGATTGTTAACATGAAGCATAAATGGCCAACATATAGTAAACATATAATTTATATTGATTAATCTTACATTCTTACAGTTGATATAACTTGAATACAGAATTTGATTGGTCTTACATTCTTAATGCTTAACAAAATTCTTCCACAATAAGCTACAAAAGTCTTAACAACCTATATTGCTCTTACAAAAAGTATAATTCTACATAGCAATCCACACTAATTAGTTTGGGTTCATTCTTTACGAATCCATAATCAAACTTTTCGCCATAGAATAGTACTTCCTGGAGCAGAATGATTATATTTTAAATTCAAAGAAGTATCAATGTTGCACAAATTAAGAAACCAATTAGATTTTAAAATAAACTTGTTTGTGGGAAATTTTGTAATAAAAAGAATATAAGGAAAGAATTGCGTTTGATTTTATTCTCTCTAACTGTTTTAGAAAAAGAATGATTACAACTCTCTCAACTCTCGATTACAATTTGGATTCCTAGTTACAAAAGAGAGAGATGATCTGGATTCTCCCCTTGTTTAATTCTGGGTTCTTCTTGGTTAGCGATGAGATGCCCTCCTCGGAATGCTTGCCGTCGAGTTTGCTTCTCAGTTGACGATCCGATATCTATACTCACTGGAACAACTGTCTGGCCGGTTGATAACTCTTGTCGAGTTTTCTCTCTTGTGTTCAGAACATGGCAGATAAGTATACTAAATGAATCTCTAATTGATGAAGACGTTGTTGGAACCGATAATATCGTTCGGTGTTGAGTAGATAGCCTGCTTTTGGGTTAGTATGAGATACGAGTTGTTCAGGATTATAGGACCTCTGTTGTGTTAGATTTGTGGCCCATGAGTCCCGAGTGACACGTAATAACATATGGTGTCTTCTTCGTAATGGTTATGCTTGTCAATCCTCCTTTGGCTGCATTCTGGTAAGATCTTTGATGATAGATCCTTAATCGTGCCGATGTATATGAATATATGATAAATCTTCTTTAGAACTAACCTACTGACTTTTCAACAAAATCCCATGGATGCTCCCGTACAATCCATATTTAAAAGATGATCCTCACTTCTGTGGATGTTTATGGTTGAATCCTTATATGTCATTTTATTAGAGGGTGTATTTTTTAGGGGTCGGTACCTGCCCCATTATATCCGAGCATCAAATGATGGGTTCCTTACTTTAGTATAATTGGTTTAGCGTTGTATCATTGGATGCGTGGTTTATTCGTTACTCTGACCTTACTAAGTATTTCACCCACCTCCCTCATTAATTTCGTTGGGTTTTTTATAAACAGTAACATCTGAATTGTTACAGAATTTCTTGAATGAATGTCTGATACCCTGTAACCTCCAGTTGACTAGGCAAAGGTGATATGGAGCTGGAATTTAGGCCAGCGAACTGAACGGGCTGCTTGGGCAGATGATGGATGAGTTGCTTCGAGAGCACGCGGTTGATAAGCTGCGTTGGGCAGCGGTTATAAGCTGCGTTGGGCAGCGGTTGATAAGCTGCGTATGGGCAGCGTTGATAAGCTGCGTTTGGGCCGCGATGGAGCTGCGGTATTATTTTATGCTGGCAGCTGATGGGAGCTTGCATGGTGTCTGAGCTCTGTTTTACATCACAGTGGCATTACGTAGGATTGGTTACGGCTTGCTGAGTTTTCAGATTAAACTGATGATGTGATTTGAGTTTTCTGCTCAGGGATGAATATTTTAAAATATCTTTAGTGTGATGGAATCACCTATTTATGATATCGCCTTAGTCAAAGAATAAGGTTCATATATCAAGGGTTAACTTTATAGTTATCTACTAATTGAAGATCTCATATAAAAACTGCGAATATCTAACTGACCAAGTGGACTTATATCTTCCTATCTGGCAGTGTTGCTTACTCGAAGGATATCATTACCTATGATTAAATGTCAATTCGGCACATTACCTATGTAATATCATGGATTTAATATGCAGAAAGATAACACCCATGGAGATATCTCATGTATGGGTGAATGTCAGCAAAGCACATCTAAAAAAAATCAATCACTACTCATCATTAGAAGCTCGGGCAATGATGTTCCTCTCATAACTGTGAACCGCGTCTACG